CCCCCCTCCCGCCCTCCCTCCCTGCCTGCCTGCCTGCCTGCCTGCCTGCCCGCCTAGGCCGCGAAGGCCGGGCGGGTCAGAGGCCGGGCCTTGAGCCTAAGCCCCTGCCTCTGCAGGCCCCGTGTTCGGGGTGCCGTGGCCCCCTAAACCCACCTGTCTTCCTGAGGGGTTATAGCCGCGGGGGGCTCGCTGCGAGTCGTTCATTTCAATATTAAAGGCTTGACATGAAATGATGAGTGTGTGCTCTTTCCTGCCACCCCGTTCCCACCGTGCTCAAGGACACACCTGCTCAGGTAAAAAGAAGGATGCACTTAATTAAGTATGCGCTTAACCTGGGAGAAGGAGGGGAAAGGTGTGTCCCACCGCTGGTGGGAGAGAGGCTGTAGTGCTGCTGGGGCTGTCGGGCTGCAACCACTGCCACTCCTGCCTTTCCAAAGCCCCGCCGGAGAAGCAGGGATTGGTATTGCAGCAGTAACTTCAGTGCTTTTTGGAGGACAGAAGCCTAACTTTGGACGATGCATCAAAATCTGAAGGTGAAACAAAAGGGGCATAGACAGAGATAGGATAAAGCTTCCCAAAGACAGCCTAGGTTTCTGGCTGGAAACTTTGGGTAGACTCTCACGATTCCTGGTTTTGCCTGGTGTTGCAGGGCCTGTGACATTCTGCTTGAAGTACACCAAGTACCGCCCGGGTGAAAGGGCACTAAGCTGTGCGCTCAGAAGACCTGTATGTATCCATAGCCTGTGCCCAGATCAGCCGTATGGCACAGGTGCAGCAAAACTGATCCGTTGGGTGGTGTCAAGCTTTTTGCTTGCATACATGTGTTTTTGACTGGGAAAAACACATGCCACATACATCCCAAAAATACCAATTTCCCCTAAAGGAGATACGATATACCTAGATACTGAGGTGTAAGGAAGGGCAGCCGGTAGTGAAAAGATGATACAATAGCCAATAGACACACCTTCACCTTTTGAATGCTTTGACACGGTAGTCAAACACAACTTAGGAGAGTGTAGTGTTATTTAGAACACTTCAAGTAATGATTTCTTGTTTACCCGGAGAAAGGAACTTCTCTTCAGTTGCAATGTGTTTTCTTCTCCAGAGTTGGGACCATGGCTATTGACTGGATTGGTTTTGCATATGCTGCATTGCTGGCTGTTGGAGGTGTTGTAGGATACACTCGTAAAGGTAAATACTGGGACAGCAGGATTTGGAAATGAAGCATTTGTATTTCCTCTCCACTACACCTTGTAAAAACAAAATTGATGCAAGACATGAAAACTTTGCTATAATGAACACGACTGCACCTTAAATCCATCCTGCGCTGCTAGAAATGAGCTGAGTCTCATGAGATTTACTTGGGTCAACCTAAGCATTTAAATGGTCACTTTTTTCTGTTTATCTAACTGATGAGTTTGTTTTCAGGGCAAAAAAGGGCTGTCGTTATTTTTGACATTCAGTGTATTTCGGGCCTTCTCATTTCCTTTAATCGTTCCTGCGTTGAGCACAGTAGATGATCTTCAATTAAAGTTTATTTTCTGTGGAGGCATCCTGGCTTGATTTTGAGATTTCCAGATGCACACTGGGAAAAAAACCCTTTACTTGCGTGTTCTGATCTCGTAGTTAATTATCTCTTAGAAATTAACTCTAAGATAACCAGGATTTCGGTTATCGTGTACTATAAAGCACATTTTCCATATTCCAGTCATTTTTGCAGTCCTTTCCAGCTGGCAGCGCCCCACCCGAGCCGAGCCCAGCATCCCGGCAGAGGTCGCAGTGGTACCGAGGATGGGCAGGCGGGATCTCCAGGCTGCTCCCCGTTAGCTCTCCCACAAAGCACACATCCTAGCAGCTCATCCGTCTTCTTCGCCGCGGCCGTCATCCATCCCAATTCTTGTGATTTAGGGTCACTGTTTCCCTGCGTAGCGTGCACAAGCTTTGCTCTGAAGAGATATGGCTTTCTATCTGGCTTTCTGAAAACACTTGCTGTATTTTTTTTGCTTGCACCCAGCTGCACTCACTGACTGTCCCAGTGGTTCTCTTCACTCTTTAATAGTTGGCCCGTCCTTGTGGCAAATCTAGATTTGGTTTTTTTTACTGGTAATGATTTCTGTTTTCCTGCAAATTCTTGGTTAAAAATAATCAATATAACAGGACTAGGAGCTAAATGACATCTGGGGGTATGGATTCTTTATAACATTTTGGGATCAGCTTAATCCAGATAATGCCTGCTGTGCTGATTCTACGCTTTTATCATATGGTACCGAGTCAAATGCCTATTCAGAAGCCTAAGTATATGACTGAAACTCTGGGCTTTATGAACCAGTTTTGTAATACCACTGAAAGAAGATGTTGAGTTACTTTTAAAAGCTGTATTTTCATCCTCATTGCCATCCGATTGTTTTTTAATTCTTTATGAATTAAATGTGATGTTGGTGATACCATTTCTTTGTCCAGGACTGATGTCAGACTGAAAGGCTTATGACTACATGTGTTGTCTCATCTACCCTTTATATATATTGACACATTTCTATGATTTTTGGAGACTCCCAAGTGCTGTAAGATATAGTTAAAATGAACAGACAGTCCATAGGAATTACAAAAATGCTTCTAAAGGTATGCGTGGTAGAGAAAATAGCCAGATTTAGGTTTGTGCTTCGAAGATTATTTTTCCCAAATTGCAAGCATTACTAGATCCTGATCATCCCCTTCTAATTTAGTCAACTTTGTCCCTCGTGCCATACAAGAGAATGACCGAGTTACAGAAATATTACCTCTCTATTCACGCTGGCTGAGCTAGCTGCACTGTGGCAAAATCGGTTCTATTTTTAAAATATTTGGACAATACTGTGTGGAGAGAGAACTACTGTGTAAAGATTGAGCTTAAAGACTTTGTATTGAGAAATAACACTTGAATGGTTTCTTGCAGGTAGTAAAATCTCTTTAGCTGCTGGTCTCACCTTTGGTTCTGTGGCTGGTTATGGAGCTTACTGCGTAACACGTGATCCAAGAAATGTGAAGATATCGTTGTGTAAGTGGTTTACTACAGTAAACAAACAAATGAACAAAACTCCCCCCCAAAAAGCAGTTTCCTCTACTGCATGTAAAATTCTCTCTTTTATTAAATTCTGAGTATTGCTTTGGTTTAAATGTTAGTTTTTAAATAGAGTTTGACATTTCAACTTAGCTTGCAAAATCCAAGAGCTTAACTCTGGAACCATTTGCAAGGTAAGGGAGATCATTCACACAAAGCCAGCAGGTATGTGTTACCACCTGGCAGCGCCTCCTGTTATTAGATGGTTACCTAACATTGCAGATACTGTGAAATCCAGCTGAGAAGCATGGGAAAGTACTGGAATAAAATCATTAGCGCTACAGATTAGAATGTAATTTGAGAAGTAACGTAGCTGTGGGAGCCAGTCTTGCATAATGTAACGTATCCTCAGCTCCCAATGAAACAAATAGTTTGACTTCGTGTTTTTCCTTTGCTGCTAAGAAAGACAGAATACAAACTATGCAATGATTGTCATGTTAGCTAGTTTGCCATGAAACACTCATGGAAGGAAGGAGCTATACTCTCTAAGGGGGACGTTAACCTCACACAACTGATTTGCAGTAAGAGCTATTGGGAGCTTGTCTCACTCATGGTTTTAGGAAAGGTGGATTAGGCTGTGGTTTCACATGCAAAAATGCATTTAAAATACATTTAATCCAGATTGTGTGAGCACACAATCGCTTTTTCTGAACTTAGTTAGAATTTACGGTACACTGTTCATGCTGGCTTTGTGCTTTACACCAGCCACAGCTGTAAAAATTTCCATTTCAAAAAAATGTTGAATAGCTTTGTTAGCAAAGTATGTTCCCACCGAGTTCTTTAGTAAAGGTGGTAATGGCATACCTGATCTGCTCCTAGATGGCCTAAAATTGGATATTCCAGTTTTGCCACTATGACCTTGCTCAGATTAAGTTATCCCACCATTAAAAAAAAAAAAACTTTTTTGGAATGAAGACATAACCTTAAGTATATGTAAATTTGTAGTCATTCAGTGCGAGATGCTTTTAAGTAGCATATGGTATTGTACTTTTATGGGTCAATTAAATCACTAATTTGGATACGGAATTTGTGGAAGAGAAGACTAATTAAAACTTACTAAATGTTGCCTGTTCCCCAGTTCCCTGGTATTGAAAGGACTAATACAAAATTTCCACTAATCTGCTTGTGAACGTCAGATATACTAAAATACTGTCAGTGTTGTGCATTTCATGTAGCTGTAGGCATGTGAGGACTTTCTCTCAACTGGAGAAATGTATATTACTGATTTAATAGACATTATAGCAGTACAGATGAGATAGAGGTCACTACACCTGCCTTAGAAAGTTCTTATGTAGAGTAAAAGGAACAAAGACTTTTTAAAGCAGTCTTAAGTTTAGAATGTTTTTGCCTGAAGTGAGTTAGGAAGTACAAAGTACTCTGCCAGGGCCAACCATTCAGGCTCATTTTAATCTCTTCCAGGCTGATATATCTCAGTCTGGAACAGGGTGTCTTCTGGGTTCTATATACGTAGGTATCTCAAATGAATAAAGAACTCGGTAGGAAGACTTCAGAGGAAGGGAGAATTAGACACACTCAGAAACATCTACGGATCCACACCTTAAAAACCTTTGGTGGCTACCATAGCTGCTACTTTCAGCATAAGGCATTTCTGTAATAAATGTGTATTGCTTTTGTAGAAATTCAGAATGTTTTCACTTACACCTAACATCCCAAAGTGCCAAAAGCAACTAGAGCACAAATGAAAGAAGGAAATGAAGTGCATGGAAGAAAGTGACCATTCTGAACTTAGAAACCAGTAGAGTAAATTGCAATGTAAAATGAAGCAAGTACCCAAACCTTTAAAAGGTTCAGAAATTTAAAAAAAAAGAAAAAAAAAATCCCCCTCCAAGCCCATAATTATCTATAGTATTTATCACCTATGCAAGAGTTTCCTACAATTATGTAGGTGATGTTTTAGTACAAGACCTTGATAGTAAAGTTCTTGTAACTTGTCCTACACAGAAAGAGTATGTAGCATACAGATACTCCCGGCAAATTTTCTTAGTTATTTTATAAATTATTCTTTCAGGCATTTTCCCACTCCCCCTGAAATTAACTGCGCTTTCTTGAATACTTTAATGCAATTTTATGTGTTTGGAGTAGGGGTAGAAATTCAGACTTCAGTATGCAACAGTTAGTGTTATTCAGAGTGCAGGTTGATGCACCTGATATATTGAATTTCTGATATGAATCTGATTTGCTGAATTGAATTTGGCTTGATTTATTGAATTTCTTGGACTGATTTAAGGTGAAACAGTGAAATGTCTAGCACTTTTGAAAATCAGGTCTAAAAGTTGAACGTCTTAAAAACTCACTGGTACATGTGAAAAGCCAGATACTAGTAACTGGAAAAAAGAACATTACAGAGTGAACATGCTTTGTAGCTTGTAATTAATTGTAAATATACTCAGGGCTCTGGCAAGATGCATACTGTGGAACAGTCCGCTCTTCAGACATTCCTGAGAGGATCAAGCCTATGGGACCAGAAAATAAGAGCAATGGATAATGGAGCATAATAATTTTTTTGCCGGGTATCTTTAATGAGTGCACATGCATAGCTGGTAGAGTTTTGTAAGATGCTTGTAACTGTCAGAGCTTGTTGTATAATGCTGGACTGAGTTTAAAACTAATTCTTGACACCTGTGAGCACAGGACTGTCCACAGGAGTAGGCAGTGGAGTTTGAAGAGAATGAGCCAGATGGTTTAACTGCTCCATAAAAAAGGGAAGAGATTTGCGTAACTGCCATGACTTTGGCTGCAAGAGTGATAAAGCCCAGCTGTGCATGAGAAGTCCTGCCTCTCTGCCCACTAGGAAGCATTTCAGGTGACAGTTCTTTAACAAAGCTAGCTATCTTTGCAGAGTTCTATGTATTCTCATCAGTCTTCTCATTCATGTAGCGCTCTGCAGCCATAGTTCGATATGAAACCCCCATGACTGATCAGTTCATTGCTACCTCCATTTTTAGATAAAACTGCTCCAGGAAGAAGAGGCAATTCCTTTCATGATGTTTGTTCTCTGCTGCTTGCGCTGCATTTGTTGCCCTCTTGGGCTGCCCACCTCTTGTCACAGACAAGGATGGTTTCCTCGTAGCAAAAGGAAACAAGGGAACTTGTAGTCATGATGAAGGAGATGTTGATAGCCGTATTCTGTAGCGAAAACAATGCAAACCTTCCAATCTAGCTTTTAAGGCTCAGCAAATAAAGAGCTAGCATTCTAAAAAGAAAACAGATAAAGTTGGATGCTCGAGCTCCTTGAATAGTTAGAAAACAGCTGGGATTTATGAGACACTATTCCTGTAATTCAGCATACATGTTGCTGTTATGATGAAGATTCCTCCTACTTTATTTGTATCCCCATGAATGTAGATATGGGGGAGTAGAATTCACTCTCTGACAAACTTACTTAGTATCTGTGGAATAGGATTTAGGATTCTGCTGCACATGGAAACCTTATTTGTAGCTGAAAGAAATCATAGCAGTGTATTTTGGAAAAGCAAGAATGTTTTTATAGACCCTATCTCTGATCTAATGTTTTATTAAACTACAGTTCATAGCAAAACATAGCAATGACTTTTGATAACTATCCATGTTCCTGAATGGTCCACTGGGAGAAGAGAGAACATAAATATATTGAATTGTCTTTTACAGTTTCAGCTTTTCTTTTGACCATTATAATGGGAATGAGGTTCAAGAGGTCCAAGAAATTAATGCCAGCCGGACTAGTAGCATGCCTGAGGTAAACATATCTTGAGGATCTTAATGTAAAGATTTCACTGATTTTCAAATAGTTGCCATTTGACATCTGATTCAAGCCAGTATCAGTGGAAGTTACTATCATCCAGCAACTGTATGGCTTAAGTGAAATTAGTTTGGAGGCCACAGTCCTGTTTCCAGTGAACAGCTTTTTCATCTCACTAGGCAGATACATCTGATATGGACTGACTTTCTCAGCACAGAAAGGAGAGATCTGCAATTAAATATTAATGCATATTGATAAGGCTCTTGGAAGAACCTGAGGTAAACCTCAGTGTTTTCAAACACATATGCATAAAATTGGTCATCTAATTTCATACTACACAGTCATCTTAAAAAAGACTAACACTTTGGTTTAGAAGTGCTGCATTCAAAACTACTGGAAGCGCAGCACCTTTGAAAACTAGGATATTTTTGACCTGACCTAAGAACTTCAGTCAGTATTACTGCAAATTATGATGTGTCTAACCATTCTGACTGCTTTATTGATGCTGTTTATTTTGGCATTCTGGAAAACATAATTTTCTGTACTTAGTATTTTGGAATCAAATTATGGAGTAAGTCAAAACTTTTTTTTTTCCCAGTGAGTCTGTAACTCAAAACATTTTTCAATTGTAAGTGAGAATCTCCGTCTTCTGAAGGAATGATAACTGTTGCTTCGTTGTTACTAGATTTAATATAACTCCATTAACTGTTTTACTCCAGTTACATACAGGGAGGAAAATATCAGATGCAAATTGTCAAGATGCAAAATTTAAGAATCACAACTTAAACTGGAAAATGTTGTTTTCCATTGTGGATCGCTTTTCAAGCCTAGGTGGACCGTGTTTTTCAACAGGCACTGAGGCTGTAGAACATTTTAAAAGATTGCTTACTAGAGGCTCTAGTGTCAGGTATTTATGAATGCACTGTTAATGATGACTTTCACTCTTTCACTGTTTTTGTTCATGCACAACCATTTTTACGGTTTTTGTTCTGGTTTTTTTTGCAGCCTTTTGATGATTTTGAGGCTTGTTTTTATGCTGCTGTAGGAGAATTTAGCAACTTAAGAACTGAAGTATGACTGCCACGCCCACCAAACAGGCAAGCTCTCCATACTTGAAAGACAAGTTTGAACACAAGTCTTACATTGCATTTATCTTTTCTGTAAAAGATCTGTACCTGTTATTTGATTATTGACATTCACTGATATTTTGCAAGCTTTTTTTTTTAAACTAAAACAAGTGTTTTGTTGATAACATATTTTGATCTACTTCCATTTAAGCAGTCTGTTAACTCAAGGGATCTTTCTCTGTAAGTTTGATCTCTTCCAGGGGTGCTGAGCACCCCAAGAAATTCAGTTAGTCTTGCACTGTATCTCTGAGAGAAGAATATATATAAATACATGTTTATGCTAAAAAGGTATATTGTATTGAACCATGATTTTGTAGCTTCTGAGATTAAGTAATCAATTCCAATCATATTGTCAGTTACTAATCAGTAAAGGCTCAGGCCTGTACTGTGTTGCACTAGAAAACTCTCCTTCCCTTCAAACACACATTCTTGTTCCACTGGTTCTAAACGTAAAAACTATTGTCAATGTTCAAATAAAATGTAAAATGTTTGAAGCTTCTCAGTTTTTTATGCAGACTAATGAACCATTTTGTCAATGGAAGAGTCTGGTGATCTGCTTTGTACTTAGTACTGGTTTAAAACATGTACCATGCTGTAAATTCCCACCAGCATGAACCACAGCTCAGGAAGGTTCACCGTCTTGCACACATAGGTTCTAAACTCTCAGTCTCAATACTCTTTTAACAGGTTTGCTGTTGTGGTCTTATACAGATTATCTTGCTGAAGTCCCCCTCATTAGCAAAGGAGACTATTCAGACATAAACTATTCAGGTATTAAAGTTGGTTTAGTTTGCATAGAAAATAATTAAATATTCCCTGTGTCTGAAAGCTTGGCTAAGACTATCTTCTGGTGCACAGGAATGTGCAGCCACATCATTAGGAAACTGAATATGGGCAAGTGCACTACTGAAGACAAAGAGAAAGTTTGCTGCTTTTCATTTTTTTCATACAGAGCTTGCTTATAAAGGCTATTTGCTCCACAAATCCATCGGCAGAATACCAAGCTTATTATTCTTGGCAGGGGCTTAGGTGGTGACAAGGTGTTGTAAGCAACTCAGATGTCTAAAGCACATTTGACACAAAAAAAAAAAAAAAAAAAAAAGAAATTCCCACAAACCCCACC